GCCTCATCATGACTCAAGTGTATTAAAGTTTATTTATATAGCCCAATATCACACATTATTCATTTGTCTCAGTTTGTACAGAATATGAGAACGACCCCCTCTGTCCTTGGACCCTCATATACTCTACTTTCTCCTGGTGGTGTTTTTACATAATTGTTAAAGTTATACATTAAATAAATAGCTGTATACATGAATAATAATGAACTGTGCTGCAGAAGAGAGGATAAGTGTATGTTCCTTTATTTGTGATTATATTCTATAAAATATGAAATCACAAAGCTTTTATTTGGTTTTCCAAGCAGTCTGTAAACCATCACATCAACTGTAATGTCAATCTTTCAGTTTGTGTGTACAGACAGAGAGATCGAAATACCGTTTCCTACAATCCAGAGGAATACAAATACAAATATATATATATATATAAACATGTATATACATATATATATATACACGATCTATTCATGTTTTTATGATGCTCATATTACTGCTAATATAGATCATGTTTAATATACTTTAAAGTGCCTTAATACCTGTCACTTTAAGCGTATACCAATATATAAAAAGTTACCTGAAAATAAAAAACCATAACCAACCAAAAGTGAAGGTCTCCATGTAGTTCTCCTTTACGTCCGCAGATAAGATATATAGTCTGTCGCTCGTTCGGTTCAACTTCATTCGTTTCTTGTAGATTTAACGAAAAATGTCTGGAAGAGGAAAAGGAGGATTATTGAAATTCATCAAATGTATAAAAAAATCAAGATGGTTGTATTGTGTATAATGAAAAACAGAAACGGGAAGTGATAAGAGATTTATGTTCTGAAGCATATAAAAAAATAGACATTGAAACGGACTGTGTTGAAATTCTGTTGGGAACTATCCCTCCGTACAACATCCAAGAATTTGATTTCCTTCTCGGTGAAATTAGAAAAGACGAGGTGATCCAGGCGGTGAAAGAGCTGAATGTCGGTAAGAGCCCCGGTCCTGATGGTCTGCCCACTGAGTTTTATCAATTATTATCTGATGATGTTTTAAACTTACTGACCTCTATGTTTAATGAAGGTCTCAGCAGTGGTTGTATGGGTGACTCATTTTATGAAGGTGTCTTGTCTCTACTATATAAAAAAAATGATGAAACTGATATAGATAATTACAGACATTTAACTATTATGAATACCGATTATAAGATACTAGCAAAAATAATAATGAATAGATTAACAGATATATTAGATAAAATAATAGATAAAGAGCAAACATGTGCTATAAAAGGTCGCCTTATGTGGGACAACTTATCAATTTTAAGAGAAATCATAAATAAACCAAAAAAAGAAAAAGGTTTCTTTATTATTGGACTTGATCAAAAAAAAGCCTTCGACTATTTATCCAGAGATTATTTATGGTCGGTGATGAAGTCCTACGGATTTCCTGAAGCCTTCATAAACATGATTAAGTGTCTGTATTTTAAGTCTTGTGTCTGTGTAAATGTAAACGGTGTGTTGACAAATGCATTTAATGTTGAAAGAGGGGTTAAGCAGGGGTGCCCTCTAAGCGCAGCTCTATACGTGCTAGCCATAAATCCATTAATTAAAATAATAAACAATGACAGTTTAATATCAGGAACACCAGTTGGCCATGCGCCCAAAATAACTGCCATCGCCTATGCAGACGATGTCACTGTTATTATAAAAAACCAACAAGAAATGGATGTTCTAACAAATCACCTAAACCTATATGAATTGGCATCAGGAGCTAAATTGAACCATAACAAAACTGAAGGTGTTTGGATCGGCGCCGACGATACCAAACGCGACATCAACATTCAAGTGAAAAAAGAAATTAAAATACTTGGAATAACTATTTGTAGCGACAACTGTGCTGAACTCAATTGGGAGAACAAACTAAGTGAAGTCAAAGAACAAGTTAAACAATGGGAGAATAAAAATACAAATTATAAATCAAGAATAAACATAATAAAATCATTCATACTTAGCAAGATCCTTTTTCTAGCAAACATCTTTCCCCCATCAGCCCAAATAATTATGCAACTCAACAAACAGTGTGTCAATTTGGTGTGGGGTACAACAAGGGAGGTTACTAAACGTAATTTGTTATTTAAAAGTAGGGAATATGGAGGCCTGGGAGCCATAGACCTGGACATTAAACTAAAAATTACCTTTGTTAAAAACATCTCGGCTGCTATAAATAGGAAAGCACCTTGGGTCGAGGATGGAAAAAAGGGATGGAACAAAAGAAGAGGCAGAGCTAGAAATAGTCCATATTATAAATTAGTTTATGGTGATTTCACAACTGAAGTTCAACATTTAGGGATTGATTGGATCGGACTACAGAATAGAGTGATTTTTAAAATGGTAAATGATTTCAAATATGGAGGTTTTATAACATACAAAAACCTAAACCCTGACGAAGGTAAAGAAGTCCTGAAATTAGTGAAATGTAAACAGATATCAGAGAGCATGAGAGACGTGAGGTGGCTGATATCGATTAACAGACTTGCAGTCAGAGCTGTGGTTTCATGGAGCTGCTATGTGAAAACTAAAACATGCCCCATGATAAACTGTGAGGAAGATGAGACCTTACAGCACCTCCTCATGGACTGCCACAGAGCCGAGGAGGTGTGGTCGCTCCTACGGGGCATCGGTTTGGAGTTCGACGTAGAATATGCCTCAATCATGTATTGTATTCTGGATGAGGGTATGGTCATAAAACACAGGGAACTTTTTCAGTTAGTAATTTGTATAACATGTATGAAAATCTGGAAGACAAGGTGCAAGATGATACTAAATCAGACGATAATAAACAGTGGCACCATCGTGAAACAAATAATCTCTGAACTAAGGAGAAGAAAAACCCTAGACAAATCCCAGACTCTGCCATGGAGCATTTTGAAGCTGTGACCGAACTAAGCCTCGCTGGAATATGGACGTGCTCTCTGTTTATGTTATTTATATATGTATGCATTGTGATTTATATGTATTATTAATGTAACTTGTGTATATCATGTACTGCCAAATAATTTAAAATAAAGTTTTATAAAAAAAAAAAAAAAAAAGAAAAGGAGGAAAACGTGATTAAGTGTCTGTATTTTAAGTCTTGTGTCTGTGTAAATGTAAACGGTGTGTTGACAAATGCATTTAATGTTGAAAGAGGGGTTAAGCAGGGGTGCCCTCTAAGCGCAGCTCTATACGTGCTAGCCATAAGTCCATTAATTAAAATAATAAACAATGACAGGTTAATATCAGGAACACCAGTTGGCCATGCACCCAAAATAACTGCCATCGCCTATGCAGACGATGTCACTGTTATTATAAAAAACCAACAAGAAATGGATGTTCTAACAAATCACCTAAACTTATATGAATTGGCATCAGGAGCTAAATTAAACCACAACAAAACTGAAGGTGTTTGGATCGGCACCGACGATGCCAAATGCGACATAAACATTCAAGTGAAAAAATAAATTAAAATACTTGGAATAACTATTTGTAGCGACAACTGTGCTGAACTCAATTGGGAGAACAAACTAAGTGAAGTCAAAGAACAAGTTAAACAATGGGAGAATAAAAATACAAATTATAAATCAAGAATAAACATAATAAAATCATTCATACTTAGCAAGAACCTTTTTCTAGCAAACATTTTCCCCCCTCCAGCCCAAATAATTATGCAATTAAACAAACAGTGTGTCAATTTGGTGTGGGGTACAACAAGGGAGGTTACTAAACGTAATTTATTATTTCAAAGTAGGGAATATGGAGGCCTGGGAGCCATAGACCTGGCATTAAACTAAAAATTACCTTTGTAAAAAACATCTCGGCTGCAATAAATAGGAAAGCACCTTGGGTTGAGGGTGGAAAAATTGGATGGAACAAAAGAAGAGGCAGAGCTAGAAATGGACCATATTACAAATTAGTTTATGGTGATTTCACAACTGAACTTCAGCATTTAGAGATAGATTGGATCGGACTACCGAATAGAGCCATTTTTAAAATGGTAAACGATTTTAAATTTAACAATCAAAAATGTTTATAACATACAAAAACCTAACACCTGACGAAGGTAACGAAGTCTTGAAATTAGTCAAATGTAAACAGATTTCAGAGAGCATGAGAGACGTGAGGTGGCTGATATCGATCAACAGCTTGCGGTCAGAGCTGTGGTTTCATGGAGCTGCTATGTTACAACTAAAACATGTCCCATGGTTAACTGTGAGGAAGACGAAAGTTTACTTTTGTATACTTTGTATTACATTATTTTATAAAAACATTTAAACATCTGAATATAAATTGAAATAGTTCTTAGATATATATATATATATATATATATATTGAATTGAAGATATATAGATATATATGTATCTATATCTATATATCTGTAATTGAAGAGCTATTTTAATGTATCTATTTGAAATAATAATACTATTTAGATTTCAATAAAAATAAATGTTTCTCTTCTATTCTCCAAAACTATGATCAAAGGGTGATTTGTTCAGCGCATGCTCAGTAGCCAACCAATCCCTTGCGAGCAACAGCACAGTCTCATTTGCATCGGATGAATATAAATAGACCACGCTGTGTCTCGGTGTATTCATTCTACTTTGTGAATCCTCAACCGTAGATCATGCCTGAAGCAGCCAGCGTGAAAGCGCCCAAAAAGGGCTCCAAGAAAGCGGTCACCAAGACCCCCACCAAGACCGGCAAGAAGAGGAGAAAGTCCAGGAAGGAGAGCTACGCCATCTACGTGTACAAAGTGATGAAGCAGGTGCACCCCGACACCGGCATCTCCTCCAAAGCCATGGGCATCATGAACTGCTTCGTGAGCGACATCTTTGAGCGCATCGCCGGGGAGGCCTCCCGTCTGGCTCACTACAACAAGCGCTCCACCATCACCTCCAGGGAGATCCAGACCGCCGTCCGCCTGCTGCTCCCCGGAGAGCTGGCCAAGCACGCCGTGTCTGAGGGCACCAAGGCCGTGACCAAGTACACCAGCTCCAAGTAAACTCTGCTGCTGATATACCAACAACACAACGGCTCTTTTAAGAGCCACCCACTACTTCTATAGATGTATTCCTCGGTTTTGAATAAGTGTACAACTTGATGCATAATCCATGGATCCTAAACGTAAATCCCTTAAATATGAAATGCATATATTTCTCACATGTTAATAGTTTACTGAGCCTCGTTACAGCTCGCCCCACAATGACTCTTTTAAAACGTATGCATACTTTTACAAGTGTAATAAGTATACATAAATATAAAACAGGGTCTAACTATATATTATCCTGAGAAATTGAAGGTTATTTTCACATTTCTGTATCCCTAATTAATACAGACTTGTTTTCCTCTATGAAATAATGATCTTTAAGTTCTTACTTAGTCAGCACTAAAGTACTTGGAGCATAGGTTTCCCTGCAGACTTAATTTCAGTGGATACCCATTAAGTATTGAGTTTGCTCGAAGCAATCAAAGAAATGTCAGCCCAGAATTTTTATAAAATGCAGGTGCATTATACAATTTATTTACAATACTTGATACTATTGTCATGCAGTGAAATAGCACTGGAGGGACCTTGGCTCCTACTTGCTCCATCCTTCTACAACAGGTGTATTTATACAGATATCATGAGACGCTTCATTGCACACAGGTTACCTCTTCATCTGTTATGTCACTTGTGTATTTAACGAATAATTCATGTCTAGTTTGATTTAGATCCCCCTAGTTAAGTAATTAACTCTTATGTGAGACAAATCTTATATTTTTATACAGTTTCTGTCGGATCTGACTTTCTGAGCTGCAGAATAAATATACCGTATATCTATTATTTATGCTGTCAATACAATGTGTCAAAAATCACTATCAACAAAACAAGAATGTTTCCATTGCTGAAACGAAATTGCAATTAATTTACCAAGCTTGTCAGAGCTCAAATATATAGAGTATTAATATATGAATGGAAGCAGTGTTATGCTTATGTGTCTGTTACTTAACATATTAAATGTATCATTAAATATGTGGTACATTTCTTGATTATTAATGTCATCATTGTTGCCATGGCAGCACAACTTAACTCAGGGTCTGTGTATAGCGTGTACAACTATTGACATGTCAAAAGCATTAACTGTATGGGCTATACAGTATTTAAACATTATATATTTTCTGTCTCTTGTTTTTTTTTCAATTATAAATGTTATTCGGGGGTTTTATGACATATTAAGGAACCTTTAATCATCAAACCTTTAGTATAAAGCCTGCGCGAATTGGATAAACAATATTTAAAAGAAACAAAATGTGCTGGAAGATGATGTGGAGGCTGCAGCGTTGGCCCCGCCTAGCAGCCTTCCCGCTGTCCGTCTTCTCTTAGGTCCGCAGTGAATATTGAAATACTGCCGGTCAGACTGCTTCCACTCATTCGTTTTGAACAACCCGATCTACCAAGACTCCAAAATGAGTGGACGAGGAAAAGGAGGAAAGGGGCTCGGCAAAGGAGGCGCTAAGCGTCACCGCAAAGTGCTCCGTGATAACATCCAGGGCATCACCAAGCCCGCCATCCGCCGTCTGGCTCGCCGCGGCGGAGTGAAGCGTATCTCTGGTCTGATCTACGAGGAGACCCGCGGTGTGCTGAAGGTGTTCCTGGAGAACGTGATCCGTGATGCCGTCACCTACACCGAGCACGCCAAGAGAAAGACGGTGACCGCCATGGATGTGGTGTACGCTCTGAAGAGGCAGGGCCGCACCCTGTACGGCTTCGGGGGATAAGCAGCTGTCAGATCGACCAACCAAAGGCTCTTTTAAGAGCCACCCAATTTACATAAAGAGTTTCCTTTTACTATGCGTCTTTTAAGATCACTCATGTTTGAGTCAAATATAATAAAACACTTGAAGAGAGGTACACTTTAAAAAAAATTAATTTCTCTAAAACGGGACTAACTTACAAATAAGTATTTAACATTTCATCTTTTTTTTCATCATTCCTTATCTGTTACCCAAGATGAATATTTTAATTCAATATATCAGATACCATGGTGGATTCAGACAGTGTGTGTGTGTCCTGTGGGTAGTGTCCACAGTAATCAATGGATTAATGTCTAATATGTAATGTAAGGCGCTTTGAACACTTGGGAAAGCCCTAAAGTAAATACCATGAATTACAAAGTCCAAATGTATTTCAATAGTCAGGAAATTATTTCTCACAGCATCATTATTGGTTGTCTGAAACGCAATCCATTTATTTTCACACTTCACGTCAACTACGTGGGTGTTGGCATGAACACAGAAACGTTGTCTTTAATTGTGCATCAAGCCTGTGTATAACCTGCGGGCTAATGACAACATCATTTTTACTTCACTTAAACTCTGGAATTATTAATTGGCTTTTATAACATATTGTAGTGCCGAGAGAAGGGAGGCGGTGGATCGGAGGTACAAATCTGGCTTTATTGAGGAGCAGAAATCGACATGCTGTCAGGTCGAGCCGAGAAGAGTAAGAGAAAGTGAAAGGGACACACACAGGGTGTTTCTCAATCGCGAGTACGCTTGCTTGGTAGCACATGTCTGCCGAGCATCTTGCTTCAGAAGCGAGTCAAGAATACTTCCTGGCATTCGGAAAACGAAGTGTGGAACACGCTAGCAAGTGTGCAGGTGTGCGTCATATGAGAGGCCCCGCCTTACATCTTCCGCCACAGATTTGGGGGAAATTGGTCCGTGCGCAAAGCATTGTGGGGATTTTAAGACCGCGGAGTCTACTCATGTGCAGCCTCGATATTTCTCCAAACGGAGTACGCCGGGCTCGGTAGATTTCCAAGTATACTGGAGATTGGAACAGTACTTCGGCGGCACTCGATGACGTAGTATGCTTGAAATAGTGGCTCTGAAGCAGCTTTACTCGCGATTGAGAAACACCCACACTGTAGGTACGGTTAGTGCTAGATCGTATACCTCCTGGGTTTTAGGCGGAAGTGACGTAATCTGCCACCGAGGACAAGAGACGACGCTGGCTGCTGCCGTCTTCACACAAATAAACCCCTTAAAACCTGTATGATTTAGTTTTCACATGTTTATTGAAATGAATTCGTCCATCTCTTTATATTATAGTATTAAATGTATTATTTTCGGTTGTGTATTTGTGTTTTGAAGTTTTTTTTTGGATGTTGCGATTTAATTTCTCCAAGAGAGACAAAAAATCACTAAAAGATCTGGTGGATATCTGACCAGTATTTCATCATGGAAGTTAAATCACAATCATTTCATTATCCTGTGGAGGATAATGTTGTTTTGTGACAGTTGCTCAATTTTAGAACAAACAAAATAACATACTTAATAAATAGCTAAATGTATATATATATATATATATATACACAAGAAGTAAAAGTGTGAATTTCAAGATAATAAAAATATAATAAAAAGATTAATGTAATTATAGGAAATAAAATCAAAAATTGGCAATGCAAAATAAAATAACCATATGTATATAAACATATAAAACAAACAAGAAATGAAAGCAGAAATGTTAAATATGATTTTAAATAACAATATTTATGTTGAAATAAGAAGTGAAAGTAAAAGAGGGCAATACAACAAAGATATAATAAAATACAATTAAAAGATGTACATTAACATAGGAAGTAAGAATACAAATGTGCAGTACAAGATAAATACTTAATAAATAGCTAAATGTATATATATACACAAGTAAAAGTGTGAATTTAAAGATAAGAAAATATAATAAAAAGATTAATGTAACTATAGGAAGTAAAATCAAAAATTGGCAATGCAAAATAAAATAACCATATGTATATAAACATATAAAACAAACAAGAAATGAAAGCAGAAATGTTAAATATGATTTTAAATAACAATATTTATGTTGAAATAAGAAGTGAAAGTAAAAGAGGGCAATACAACAAAGATATAATAAAATACAATTTAAAGATGTACATTAACATAGGAAGTAAGAATACAAATGTGCAATACAAGATAAATAAAAAGACTAACCTTACAGAGTTAAAGTAAAAATGTTGCAATACAAGTTGTAATTAAATAGAATAAAAATATGTATGGATAATTTAATAGGGATTATTTTTTTGTTGAGACATCAGGACCCTTCTCTACTCCCTCCACATTCATGCTGACCCGGAAGTTCAACCTCATAGCTTCCGCAAAGCAGCCTACCCTTTTTGTGAATGGGTGCTTTTGTGGTACGGTTTTCACAGGTAGGTTGGCCATCTCCTTCTTCCTTTTCTTAGGTGTGAACGTCAGAGGAAGGCTCTGATCATGTGGAGTGTGTAGCTTCACATCTTCCAAGATCTCGGTCATTTGGTCAGTTAACGTTTTAAGGTAATCTTCATCTTGCAGATGGTATGTTAAGTCAGTAATCTCACGCAAGAGACTGGCACATTCCCTTCTTTGTTTAACCTTTCTTGGTCTTTTCCTTTCGGGCAAAGCGTTACATGGTGACTGCATTTCCACTGATACCGGTGTGTATGTATGATCTGTGATGTCTGATCTGCCGCTGTCATCCCTCTCACAAGAAGTCTGTCCCAGACATGCATTATCCAGGGAGAAGAGGGGGTTATCCCTGTAATTAGATGCCAGTTTCTCCCAACCCCATTCATGCACATGATTAAAAACAGCACAGAAGTGCTTGCAGGGCAACTTGTGCTTTGCCCAGTCTTTGCAGGTGCACGATGGCATGATGATACTTTCACCAAAGTTGATGTGGTGCTGTGTGCAAGGATGACTTTGGCTTTTGACATGGAACATGCCATTGCCCTTTGCAACAATGTCATTCGCCTCATAAAACTGGGCTTCTGTAAGCCTTGACATCACATGGTCTGCTACACTTCTTGGTCTGTCTTTTAAGAACTTTGGCATGTTCTCATTGTACCTTCTGTAGAATGAGGAGTACTTGACATTGAGTTCAATGTACCTTCAATAAGAGATGAGAACAATATCTTAGAAGTCTCTCTGTGACAGTTTGCTTTCTCTGACATATAGATATGGTATTTGATAATACAATTGTCTCAGAAACGTATGCAACAATGAACAACATCAAACAAATATGTTGGAAACAAAGCTATCGAACATTACATTTATATATATATATAAAAATGTGTGTGTGTTTGTGTATGTATGTATGTATGTATATATAAATATATATATGTATAATCATAGTAATTCTTTTTTAGCTCACTTCCGATATGTCCTTGGTAGGAAGTCAGTTACCAACACAGTGAGCATTTCACTGAGGCTGCAGTTCTTATAACCTTCAAGATGAGAATGCTTTAGGGTTTCATTTTGTCTTTCCACCCCATTGTTGGTGTAGATGGCCACCTTGAGATCTTCATCCCGAAACACGTGCACCCATCTCTACACAAGACAAAAAAAGACAAAAAAAATTAAAAGGAAGACTCTTCAAATTCAACAAATGATATAATAAATATAATATAAAAGTAAATATAATATTTGAACTTGATACACACCTTAGCCTCTGGGAGCCACTTATTTGAAAACCACGCTCTCACTTTTTCATTGTCCTTCCAGACTTTGGCCTCCTGCAGGTTGCAAAGGCGTGTGCTGAACTCCTCTGGAGTTGAAGCAGCTGCAATGCTTCTCAGAAGCGGTAGGAGACTGTCTTGTGCGTGGCTCACTCCATGATCTTTCTTCCTGCACCATTCAACCCAAGCTTTCTCCCTATGGAAGTCGCAGAGAAGCACCTTGGAACCTGGATAAAATATAAGAGATATATTACCTGCACCATGTTGTCATTTTATTTTGTCGCGTTGCTATTACATAGTATACGCGACAAAATATAGGCCTGCTTTTTATACATCTGTCTGTCAGTGGAGGTGATGACTTTATTTTGAAGTAGATTGTTGCATACATTTGCATGTAAATGGTTATATTTTGGAAGTTGGTGGAATACTATGTAAAATGTATCCTTTTTTTTAATTAACGTTTCATATTATGTGAATTAACAGATTTCTACAGTTACTGCAATTTCACCTTGAAACTCTTCCTCCAGGGCACCGATCTCTACCTCTGAGAAATCAACCATGAAGTGGCTAGGGCTCCAGTCAGGGTTCCACTCCTTAAACACCTGGAGGGCTTCTTTGACATCTGCTGTTGTCTCACTCTGGGTCACAAAGAGGCCAACCACTGCATAGCACACATTTGTACGTACACATAGGAAGAAGAGGGGAACAGAATAACGACACGTCCGGTAAGTAGCATCAAGCAGGCACATCTGTTGTCCATACAGGTGGAGAAGCCTTCGCTGCCAGGCTGTCTGGTAACAAAACAGCAGCTTTGTGACAGTTCCGTCCTCCTGTAGCTGGCTTGGCCTGTACTTGATTTTGCAGTCATCAACTAACCATCTGGGCGTCAGAAGCTGTGAATGAAAGTGTAACTGGACATTATCATCATGTAGCCTCATGGCCCAAACATTAGGAACATTTGTTGTCATATCAGGGCAAAAAACAGTTTTGAAGTTTTAGTTGCATTTTGAAAAATGGTCATACCCTGCATATGAACCAAATACTGCTACTTTGCTTTGCTTACTTACACCTGCATTCAGAGGACAATGTATCATGTAAAAAAAAAAAAACTGACCATGCTTGGTGAAGTCACAAACTCTGTAAGTTGTGCATTAACCACCCACACAAACTTGCATGGCTTGAATAATATTAATACTATTCTACTCTCAGTGTATTACCTGCAGATTGACCTGGTCATTTTTGGATTCACGTATTCCCTCCTTCGTTCTTGATAAGATATTCCTGATATCCTTGTCTGTGGGGTAAAACCTCCGACGTGTTTGTGGAGGTGGCT